TTCAAAAGACTAATTTAGGAAAGGTGATTCAAAAGACTAATTTAGGAAAGGTGAGCCATTAAAAAAGAATAAACAGTGAAATGCCACAGTGAGGCTGAAGTCAGTGTGTAATTTTTTTCTTATTTGTAATTAAGTATATGTAAAAACCAATATRAAGTGTTCCTCTCCCTGGTGTCTTTGTTGGCAGGATTGAGATCAATGCAAGGATAGCTGTGCTGACATAAGAATCTATTATTATAATGCTATTATTACTACTTTTTATTTACTTTTTGCAGTTTTAAATCGATGCTAAATACACTGAGTGGCGATGTGTATGTAGGCCGTAGTCTATGTATAAGCAGCTATAAAAGAAAAGGTTSACTTGACATTGAAATGAGCATTTTGGTATGGCCAGGGGAAGGATTTCTACTCGGTGAATGCAGAGGAGAGCCAAGAAAAATAAGTGACACTTGGCTTCTCAAAGCCCCAYCTCTGTTTCCACAGGCTGTGTCTGGGCAGAAGGAATATCAGGTGAGTGAGTAATTCAATTTTGGGGCAGATGAAGGACAAGTGATGTATCCCAGGAATGCCCAGCCCTGCACATTTCCTGTACAGAGCAGGGCTGTGACTTTTCCCACCCAAATCCTGAAATGCTTCAAGGATGGTGATACCCTTCCCTCAGTGACTCAAAGGTGGAGTTTCTCCCCACACTGCAGAAATGCTCCACTTCTGCAGAAAGGTTTTCTTGTACCCTGTCCAAACTTCTGTGGCTGCTCTGGCACCTTTGCAGTCATCCTTTCTTTATTTGTAGGGACATGAACAAGCCCAGCTCCCCCAGGTTCTTTACTTGAGGCTTATGACCAAGAAATCCAGAGAAATAAGTGGACTGTAAAAGACTCTAAGGTRTAAGTAGGAAATGTTCTCACCCAGAGCCTCTGAGCTTTAGGGWGTGAGGTTTTTCAGGAATTTTATTGACATAAAATCAAGGGAATACAGGGAGAGTGACCTCTAGATTTGGACTTGATATAAGMAGATTAAGCAGGATTTTTTATTCTAGCCATATGGATCTGTGGTTTGGGTCTGGTTTTTGTGGTGCTTTGTTTGTTTTTTTCCCCAGATGTAAGCTGTTACTTTTATCACACTTTTATTTTAACCTGACTCCAAGCTAACTGGCTGTCACTGACCATCCCTCACCCATGTTACAGTGAATCCACAGCCCTGCTCCTGGAAACCTTTAACAAATACTTGACTCTCCAGCCTGTAATCCTGAGACAGGCAAAGGGGAATGGCATTTTCTCCTACACAGCCTGCTCGGGCTGCTCTGAGAGCTGGTGGTGCCTTTCAGATCCTGCCAAGGACAGAGTTTCCGTGATGGCACCAGAGGGTTTGGCTGCAGGTTCCTGGGCTGCAGGACAGCGTGCAGAGGGTGGATATTGGGAGGAAGGCACATCCTCCTCCTCCTCCTCCTCCCTCAAATCAGCTTGCCCAGAACATCATCCCTCCCAGTGGTGAGACCTCCAGTTTAAATAAAATGCTGGAATATCCAGAAAAAGCCCTTTTGGACGCAGAGCACAGGAGATGGGGAAGAGCCTGGATGTCACCTCCCTTGCAATGGCCTGGATCGTGCCTGGCTCGCTGCTGAAGGTCACAGCAGGGACTGTGAGCAGCTCCTGACACTTTCCCGTCTTGTTGCTGCTGCTGGAGCTCTGGAAATCCCTCCTCCGTGCTCAGTGGTAACCACTGGCGGTATTTATAAACCCCAGCCACCCTTGCACACACAGACACATCTCGCTGAGAACTGAAGATGTCAGCAGTGCTTTTGCTGCTCCTCTCAGGATTTATTCTAAGTTATTTTTGGGGATCTTGTATAACTGATCTCTTAAGCCCTCTTAAGTTTAATTTTAGACTTGGCAGAGTTTATCCTGCTGTGCTGTCCTTTTCCAGATGCATCTTCTCCTCCTAACCGGGCTCCTGGAGAGTCTTTGGAGAGCACAGAAAAGGCTGTTCAGAGGAGCAAAAGGAGCGTCTGTAGGATTTATCCCCCGAGAGCCCTGCCTGAACCCGTTTGTGCCTGTGATCCTGACACAGAAGAAAGCCAAGGACTGACCTCTCCTGTACTCCACTCACACAGAAAGAAGAGTGGGACCTGGTTTGGATTCTCTGCCCTTCCATGCASGAGCGGTGGCTGTGAACAGAGCACGTGGAGCTCTGCAGAGCTCAGCAGTGACTGGGAGCTGCTGGAGGCTGAGGAGAGAGGACTGAGCAGTACCTAAACAGCCCCAGGCACCGCCGTCGGTCCAGCTTCTCTTTGGCTGCCCGAGGCTGAGGTGGAAAATCATCTCTGCGAGTTCTGGAGCCCTCCCAACCAGACTGGCTGTGCACGGGCTCTGCTGGACTTCTAAGAGAGGACATGGGGCATGGGGGCTTGCAGGACTGGGAACTAGCAACAGTCCACAATTTATCTATGGTTTCTCTAATTAATCGTGAATAATTAATCTAATCCTGTGGATGTGCATGTCTATTTGTAACTTGCTAGGGAACTTCAAACTGGAGCAGCCAGAGAATGGGAGGAGGCACATCTGGAAGGATGGAGCTGGCGGGTAGGGAAGCGTCTCCAGGTTTATGGATAAGAGATGTTGAGCCCATGAGAGTACCTGAGGGACCAGCAGAGGGATGGGCCTGTGCCCCTGCAGCGGGGAGGGGTGGGGGTGTTCCAGTGGGATCTGCAGAGCTGGGCGGGCAGAGGAGGAAGAGGAGCRGGTTTGGGGCTGGGGGCGATGGTTCTGTGGTGATGCTGAGGGCACAGCTCTTCTGTCAGAGGGTCTGTGTGCTCAGGGGCATCGCTGCCAGGCTGCTCCTGGTGGTGTGGGCTGGGATACCTGCCCAGCCTGAACGGGAACAGGGGAGGGAAAGGGAATTCCCTGACTCTTACAGCCCCTCGGTTCAGCTTCCTGGGATCACACTCAGCATCCCCTCAGCCAGGCTCGCCCAGGCCTCTCCCAGCTCGTGGTTCTGCAGCTGAGGAAGCTCCCTCAGACATTTCTACTGAAGAAAACGCAGCTTTGAGACTCTGCATGTTCTCAGGAAGCAGTGACAGAAGATGTGGATCTAATCCCTGCCCCAGTGCCAGGACACAGAGGGAAAGCTGTGGCAGCAGAGGGACATGAGCTCCCTGTCTTGCTTCCACCATTCTCCTCCTCCTCCTCCTATTGCTCACAACCTGCTGGGAATCCTGAGCTCCCAAAATTTCCAAGGCTGTGGCACAGACTCATCATGAAAATGGCCTCCTGACTATCACACCAAACTCTTTGTGGAGAAGGAGAAGAAGGAGAAGAAGGAGAAGAAGGAGAGAAGGAGAAGGAGAAGGAGAAGGAGAAGGAGAAGGAGAAGGAGAAGGAGAAGGAGAAGGAGAAGGAGAAGGAGAAGGAGAAGGAGAAGGAGAAGGAGAAGGAGAAGGAGAAGGAGAAGGAGAAGAGAAGGAGGCTGTGAGGTCACAGAGTGGTGGCAGAGTTGTGCCCTGAGGTGGGCACAAGCTGAGGCTGAGGCAGGGAGGGCAGGGGGCCCTGCAGGACATTCTGGGCAAGGGCAGCACGGGGTGGAGGGGTCACTACAGACCCTCTCACCCTGGGTGAGTGCCCAGACACCTCCCTTTCCTGGAAAATGGGGACTGGGGCTGCTCCACTGCCTGCTCCAGGAAGGGTCAGGGTCACTCACGCTTTGGACAGCTGGACCTTCCTCAGCAGAGTCCAGAGACAGCTGAACTTCCCTGGCCAGAGCAGGAATTGGAAAGGCCGAGCTCCCCCAGCTCAATCCTGCCAGAAAATTGAGACAAACAGGTCCCAAAGAACCCTCAGGTCACAGGGTTTGCTGGCTCCAGGGCCCTGGGCTGCCTTCCCTGCCCTGARCACCTTGTGGTGTGCACATCACACRTRTCTGCTGYGGGTTCCAGTGTGGAATTCCTCTCCAGGCCTATGGAATTAGAGAGCTGCACAAGGCAGGTCTGGGTGCACTAAATTGGGTCTGCACACAGGTGTGCACCCTCTGTGCTCACTGCACTCCCTCTGCCTTTAATCCTTTGTGARACCCACGTCTGTTCTGCTCC